AGAGAGAGAGAGAGAGAGAGAGAGAGAGAGAGAGAGAGAGAGAGAGAGAGAGAGAGAGAGAGAGAGAGAGAGAGAGAGGGCATTGCCAGTGTGATGAATTTAGCTCTTCCGTGTGATTCTATTTTTATAGCAGAACCTTATCCCTTTCTGGCAAAAAAAACAGAGTCCCTTGCCCAACCACATGTAAAGGGAATTTAACCCTGGAAAGCAGACTCAATCAAAGAGAACATGACCTAAGGGTTACACTTGGATGTTATTCTGCAAGTCTCTTAAACGAGTTCGGAGGTCCCTCTGCGCATCGCACAATCATAGCCTCCTCTTTTTTTTTTAAAGCCTCGCATTGTGTCTGGATTGAATTACCCCATTACGCACTTAATATAGAGAAAGTGCCATATTTCGCCGAATACGACAACTTGCAAAGCAAATGGAAATGCTGGTCCGGTCAAAGTACTCACCGTGGATGCAAGGGATGGATGACAGACCCATTGCGGAGTCAAAGGGGCGGATGGATGGAATGCAATCAGATAGATGGATGCATGGGCGGGCACAAGGACGTTCCAGAAGTATGCAGCCAGTCTACTAATATGGCCCCAGGGTAACAGGGTTTTGGTAGAAAGTGGCATTGTTTGGGTATTATGCCCTTTTTGCCAAATTAACAACCCCAATAGCGTGAGCAATCGGCACGGAGGATTTCACCCATCCATGCATTCCATCTGATTGCACTCCGTCCGTCCGTCCGCCCGCCCGCCCATCCATCTGAATCGACCATATATAGTGGAATCAAAGGGACGGACGGACGGACAATTTCACCCATCCATCTGAATCGACCATATATACTGGATTCAAAGGGCCGGACGGATGGAATGCAACACAGTGCTGGAGTCAAAGGGGCGGATGGATGGAATGCAATCAGATGGATGCATGGATGGATGCGTGAAATCCTCAGTGCCGATTGCTCACGCTATTGGGGTTGTTAATTTGGCAAAAAGGGCATAATACCCACACAATGCCACTTTCTACCAAAACCCTGTTACCCTGGGCCCATATTGGTAGACTGGCTGCATGCATCTGGAACGTTCTTGTAGGACCTATCGGGCCACCGGCCGACCCACCGACCAACCCACCCAGGGTCAGTCAAAACGTCAAAATGTGTGGGCATCAACACAGTTGGAGCTGTAAATTTGGCACACAGGGCGTACCAAGACAACGACGTTTTTTACCAACCCCCCTGGTCATATTCATGACCGCATACATCTTGAAAGTCCTTCTACGACCAACCCACCATCCATCCAACTAACTCACCAACAAACTAACCAACCAATCCTAAACCCTAAACCAACCAACCAACCAGTCATCCATTCATCCATCAATCCCTGCATTGTAGTTGTGAATTGGACTAAGTGCATTTTCACAGCGTAATATTTTTAGCCAAAACTGACCGTATTCGTGGCTAGATACATTCATAGAGTGCTTGTGTTATGAGGAGTATGCCCTTGGTCCCACCAAAGGCGTTTGCAGAGTGAGCACTTTCCAACGGCGTATAGGTGAAACACTCATCCTCCATAAAAAAACGATGGGGGGTGGTGGTGAAATAGTCAGCGTTGATGAAAAGAGGGCGGGGTGAAATACTCAGCGTTGATGTAAAGAGCACGGGGTGACATGCTCACCATGGATTCTTCCAAGCAGGGCTCCGCTTCCCAATCCTCCGAGAAAGGAGTTAGCAAGGCCATCATCTCCCCGCAGCTCTCGCACCAGCTCCTGCGCACCTACATCGTGTTACCCCCTTGTATTAGGGTTCACTGTTCAGGGTTTCACCATTCGTGGACGATGGGTCGCTCTCTGCTTCTAGCGCCAGTGGATTGTTTTGGGAGTAACATATGACTCTTACACAAGGCACACGCTCGCTCTCGGCCAATCGCTAAGAGATGCAGACCAAACCAACAAGAAAGGAACCACATGATCAACACGTAGAGGGCAAGCAGTACATACCAACCACATACATGTAGGGAGTAGGAGGCCAGGGTAAGAGCGTTGGGGAGAGGGGGGGGGGGGGGGGGAGAAGCACAAGAAGAAGAAGAAGAAGAGAGAGCTGTCTCTTATACACATCTAGATGTGTATAAGAGACAAGTGCAGAGGAGAAGGGGGGCAACCAAGCAGCAGCACCAATCCAGCCAAGAGAAGAAGATGGCTCATTTTTTTTCTTCCATGCTCACTGTCATAAACCGCGCCTGCTCTTCAGCTCTTCGTCAATACCCCCACGATTGCAATTTAGGCTCTTCGGTTCTCCGGAGGAGGTTGCTGAGCTGCAGGGGCGCAATAGCCGCCACTGTTGCAACACAGGGAACGAAGGAATAATATCCATCGGCAAAAGATGAGGCTTGAGGCTTTTTTGCATGCTCAACTCCAGCTTTCTCCCCATCTCATACTGCACTGGGCATTTTGCTTACAGAGCTCATCATTTTGTTTTTGCGCTGCGAAGATCCCATGGCGTGTGGTAGGTGTTTCCCCAGACCTTCTGTACTTTCAATCAATCGAGGGGTTTTCGAATCTCGTACTTAAGGGGGGGAAAAAGGTGACTGACGCTGACGCACCACCTTCCCTAAGAGCATACTCACACTTGCACTTTCCTAAATGTATCTGACCGTAATCAAGTCCACAGCTCACACGAAAAAAAAAGTTCTAGTGTGAGTAGTATGCCCTAACACAGGAGCAAAGAAATGTGAGCGCAAGGGGTCCCCGCAGAGGCCCAGCAAAAAGGTCCTCAAACCTCAAAAGCCCAGCAAGAAGACCTCGAGGATTTTTGGCCAAGTTTCACTTCACGGAAGTCACTTGCAATCACGGCGCACACATCTTCTGTACATTACGCCCTTTTTGCGGAAGTCATTCAAACCCCCCAAAAAACATTGTCCAACCAACCAACCAACCTACCAGGTTCTTTCTACCTACCTACTTACCTAAATTGGCAAATCCACAATCCTATGACAAATGCCCAACGGAGTGTTGGCCCGGCTGCCATATGGAACACTGCCTGCCTGCTCTCTAGTATCCGATGCGGTGCCTTATTTCAGCCATTTGCATGTGTAAGGGCATATACTCACACTACCTCTCTCTCAAAATGCATCCGACCGTATTTACGGCTTGACCTGGATGTGTCTGGCCGAAATTACGTCCATAGATGAGTAAAAAGGTCGTAGTGTGAGTATTTCAACTTCTCTGCAGCCGTAATTGCGGCCAGGTACATTCAGGCCAGGTCAGAAAAGCGGTCATATACATCCAGGAAAGTCCTACTGTGAATGTGCCCTCAGGATGGTAGAGGATGCAGAATCCGAACGAGGTGAAAAGGGGAAGAAAGGGGACTGGACGGGAATGGTAATGGGGACGAAACGTGACAGGGACTAGGAGTGGGACTTGTATTGGGACTCAGATGGGAACCAGGGTGGGATAAGACAACGAACAGGGCATGAAAGCGGGCCTTAAAAATATGAGCTTGGGAAAGGGATTCCAAAAATGGGACGAGGAATGGGGCCGGGAAGAGGACTAGCACCGCGACGACGAATGCGACCTGGAACAGGGAGGGACCTGGGAATGGGACATGAGGAATGGGACTAGGATTGGGACTGGGACTGGGATTCATGACTGTGGACAGGACACAAGGAATGGAAACGGGACTGGTCCTGGTACTGGGACTGGTACTGGTACTGGGACTGGGACTGGGACTGGGATTTGCATTGGGACAAAGGTTGGGATTCAAGACTGCCACACGGACCTGAGAGTGGTGGTCCATCCAATGATAGTGGAACGACTCGCACTAAGGAAATCAGTGTTGATCTGATGGCGTTGAACAGCCGGCTTCGTGCTTCGCCTACGGCAACCTCAGCCGGACAGGTGCAAAACATTCCCCCTTTTTGCAAAATATGGACCAGATTCAATTTGTGCGAAAAATATGCATGACTAACTGCAGTGCAGAGTCAGCAAACTGCTTTCCCTACCACAACCTTATACCCTGTATAGCACAAGCCAGCTCTCCCCTTCTGGCATGCATCAACCCTATTTGTAAACCTACCTACCTACCTACCTACCTACCTACCTACCTACCTACCTACCTTACCTACCTGACCTACCTACCTACACACCTTAACCACTAGAACACAACAAATCAATACCCCTCCAGGTATACAGCACACC